GAATCCAACCAGAGCTTTGGGTCACACTGGTGACAAGGCAAGGCATACTGCTGCTGGGACCCGCTCAGGTAGTTAAAGGGTTAGTTTACCTAATCAAAAACTGTAGAGAGTGCCTGTGCAACAAGGGGCACTACAAGGCAGATAGGATGATGTCATCCCTGGGAGTTTTTCAGTCAGGCTTTAGGAGATACATAAATGGCCTACAGTACACCTATATCAAGGACATTATTTAACTTTGGTCAAAGTTGCACAGTTTTTTTTTTTAGCTACAGACAGCCCTTACCTGCATAGGTAGTTTTTTGTGAAAGGTGTATAATGCCCTCTGGTGTAGCTTGAGAGAGTTTGTTGTTTTATTTTTTTTTCTAGGCAGAGGGTGAGTAGCAGCCTGGGATGAGTCAGCCTGGGAGTGAGGCAGAGAGGATACCTCAGGACAGGCAAAGGAGGTTCTGAAGGTCAGGACTTCTGGAGCCCTCCCACCTCTCCAGAAACCTGAGAGCTTTCTGGAGGAGAGATGGGGGAGAGGAAGGAGCTCAGATTTGCATACTTGAGGTACCTTGGACAATCCCCTGGCAGGAGCCTGGGTATGGTGACCAAGGCAACCCTTACGTATTGCAGAGCCTGGGTAGAAGGGAGCAGTGTTGAGTGGAAGATGGAGTGAGAGGCTGAAGTGTGGAGCCTAGGAGGGGGCCCAGGGAAGGAGCCTACCTATGGGCAGGTGCTGGAGAAGAGGACCTCCACTGTACCACCATCTCCAAGGGAGGACATCCTGAGCGGCAGGGAAGGAGCCAGCCCAGTAAAAGGCCTGAAGGCAGCCACCAACCCACTGACCTATCAGAAAAGGACAGTGTCTTACACCCTTGGGCTGTATAAGGGGAGAGGGCAGTCAGGTGGAAAACCAACTAGCTTCTCATCTGGGGCTGCTGTGCTTAATTAGCAGTTCTTGGTCCCCTTGCCCAGGGAATACCCTCAGTGCAGTTGGGTGAAGAAGTGGATTGATATGGGGTCTGAGGAGGTACACCAGAGAGCTGGAATGATCTTAAAGGAGAGACTATTTTTGTCCACATCTGTACATAGTTGCTGAGAAGTTTTTCCTCAAGTTTGCAGTTTCCTTGGGCACCCCATACACCTCTCAACTCCTTCCAAGTTATTAACCCCTTCATAAAATCACAAAACCAAGCTCAAGGACTGTTTACTGACTCTGAGTGCAAAGTGTGGAAGAAAATGTGTGTTGCCTGGCTATGCAGAGCTTTAGGGGGGACTCAAAACTCAGCGACTCCTAAGGGGGTAGTACTACAGGTGAAATAACCCTTTAAACTCTGAGCTGGGTGCAATCCCATGACCAGGCAGCCCGATGCTTCACTTAGATGTAAAGTGGTGGGATCTACATGTGGGCGACAGGGAACAGAATGGCAGCTGCCTGGACACCTTTTGTCCTCGCAGTAAGTGGAGTGGAGCGGTGGGTTTTGTGCAGGAAAAAGGAGGAAAATGTGATTGGGTCATGAGGACCAGAGGACATGTAGCCTACAGAGATCACACAGCTGCAAACCAATGCTATAAGAAATTATTAATATATTATGTTTTATGGTCAGAAGATTGGCAGTGGTAGTTTTCTTCACATAATTCCATACGCTCCTCTACCTTGCCTGTGAGACTGGCCCATCATAATCCAAAATTAGAGACTGTCATTTTAAGAAACCAAAAGCTGCACCTATGAAGTCCAGACATCAGTTCTACATTCACACTTCCGGGTCTGTCATGCGTTGCAGTCGCAGTGTGATGCACCTTAGATGCATTTGGCACATTAACACTCATTCCTCTGGACGGTATGTTTTGCTGGAAATTGAACCAAAGGTGCAGCAAGCAGAAGTGTTAGGGTTAGTTTAGGTGGGAAGCAAGGGTACTGTAAAAACAGACATTTGAACCATGGTTTTACCACCTCCAACCACCCAGGTAAAAGATAACATACAGTCAAAGGGGGCTGTACATACTACCGTCACAATGCTTTGTGGCTGTTTCAGATTTAATGTGGTTTGCGGAGTTTGACTGCTGTTACTTTCTGTCCAACTTGCCTACTGAGGTCAGTTGTACCACACCTCTTCACATGCCATATGCCCGAGTCATGGCTGATCCCATTAAAAATGTCTGTTCCCCCAAACTATAGCCAAAAAAAAACATGCATTCAGGAGGCAGCAGGATCTCCTCCTGAACATCCACAAGCCAATCTGAAAAGTGATTCAGAGTGGTAGAAACTGCGACACCACCTAAGTGCAGGCTTTGCCTGAACGGAATCTATGGTCCCAGTTTGCCACTTCACCGTTTTTTCGAGCTACAACAAAAGAGGCATTTGAAGCAGTTCAGTTTATGGAAATACTATAGCATGGAGGTGAGAGCTGAAAGGTGGCCAGGAAGGTGTGTAATGTTTGTTCCTGCCCTGCTGTCCTTTATCTCAGTTGCAGGCCTCATATATTTAGTTCCCTTTCTATTCCAGGTAACTGACTAACCAGGTGTTCACACTAATCATTATCCTGCACCGGGTCATAAATCCTGCTGTAAATGTTCAATTCGTGATTTTCAGCTGGTCTATAAAATTTGTTCAACAAAAGTGTTAATGAAAATCTGAACATTAATGAATATGTAAACCCAGCATTTCATATTTCTGCTATGTGCCTGTTGTACCATGTACTTGTATGAAAAGATATTCTGTTCTCTTTGTATTGCTTCCTTTGTGTGAAATCTCTGGTGTACCTGCCAGTTCCTCTGCTTTCCTATTAAAAAGTGACCACACTAGGCATGAAAGCACAGCATGGTCAGTGTTCTGGCTGTGCTGGGAACTTAGCCTCCCCTCCTCCAATAATCTGACTTGTGCTGACACTCCTCCTCCCCCCCTGCATAGTCATTCACTGGGAAGATTAGTGTACTGCTGTTTCCCCTCCCCTAGCTGTTATGCCGCTGAGAAGAGAGGGTATGCGATCACTTATAAAAAAGAGGGAAAAAAGGTGTATATATAGTTATTTATATCTATACACTAATATTTTTACCTTTCCTTTCTGTTTTAAACTGAATGGGTTGTTTTTACAAGGTGAGGGTTTACAATCACTTTAACTGCTTGCTGACCCACCCCAGTGCATATTCTGAGGCAGTACAGCTCTTATAGGCACCGTAACATAACTGTACGTCACAGCTTTCTTCCGGGACCCGGAAGCTGGAGTTGCCATTCACGGCAGCACAGGCCAATCAGAGGATCTCGGCCAATGATTTATGGCTGAGATCAGCTGAGCGAATGACAGAAGACAGCTCTGTGTTGCTAAACAACACAGAACTCTCTACAGATGTGCTAAGCAGGGAGTAAAAACTGGCACATTGATTAGAAAAATCAGCACACATTACACTTAGTAAACATTACTAGGCAAACAGTTAACCCCTAGATTGCCCCTAAATGTTAAGCCCTTCCCAGCTAGTGTCATTAGTACAGTGACAATGTATATCATTAGCATTGATCACTGTAATAGTGTCACTGAAGATGTTATTGTCAGATAGTCAGTTCCCCCCCAGCGTCAGTTAGTGTCAGATTGTCCAACGCACTATCACAGTCCCAATATAAGGCGCTGATCACCTCCGTTGTTACTAATATAAAAATAAATAAATAAAAATTCCAGTATCTATACCATAGTCTGTAGACTGTATACCTTTCAAGGAAACCAATTAATATATACTTATTGGGATTTTTTAAACCAAAGGCATGTAGCAAAATACATTTTGGCCTAAATTTATGAAGAAATTTGTTTTTTATTGTATATGTTTTTATAGCAGAAAGTAGAAAATGTTCTGGGTTTTTATCCAAATTTTCAGTCTTTTTTTATTTGAATCGCAAAAAATAAAAAACCCACTGGTGATCAAATACCACCAAAAGAAAGCTATATTTGTGTGAAAAAAAATGTATACAAATGTTTTGGTACAGCGTTGCATGACCGTGCAATTACCAGTTAAATTAGAGCAGTGTTAAATAGCAAAAAAATGGCCTGGTCACGAAGGGGGTAAAACCTTCCAGAGCTCAAGTGGTTAATTACTTTACCTTTACCCAGTCCCCCATAGTTCTACCACCGTTGCATTTGTTAACAGGGTTGTGAGATGTTAGCAGGGGCATATTTGGCCCTGTAAGGTGGTATTTCTAGTAAGACAGTTTTTGAGATGTTAGGGGTTACCTTAGTCTAGGGTCAGGCGTTCAGGTTAGATGGAGGTTTGGGTTAATGTTAATGATAAATGTTGACTCGGTCGCTTTAACTAGAAAAAAAAAAAGACTGTTTACATCCAGAGGCTCATGCACATTCCTGCAGCAGATTTTAGTGCCCCAATGTTGGTCCATACAATCAGACAGAACTCCAACACTTCCTACAGAGCTTGGCTGCTCCCTTTCTCCCAGCTATATTCCTGTTGGCCTAGATCTATGCTGGTCTGTCTCACTGATCAGTAAGAATGTGCGGGTGGAAGCAGACAAGCTTTGACATTACTGTATTAGGTGTCATGGAGTTTAGTGGACCCACTATGTCACATGGGTGGCTTCTGACTAACAATCAGGGCAGATGCTAAAGCAGTATAAGTCTTCAGAATAAATGGTTAGAGCGAACAGCAGGGTGATGGCCAAATCAGACGCATGCAGACCGATCCTAAACATAGTCCAGGTTCCAAATAGATGGAACAAAGGCTGACAATGTCAGTCAGAGGTAACAGGCCAACGATCATATTAGGCACACACAAGCTAAGTACAAAAATGCAGTGCAAACATTTCACAGAAATAATGCAACAGATAAACAGAAAGATGTTGGACAAACCTGAATCCAGGGCATGCTTGTTAGTTTTCTTCTGAGCTCCTTGACCTTCCGCTCTAAATGAAAGTGTTACTAAACCCACAACAGTAAAATCAGTCTGTATATGCAGTACAGCATGCTTGTTATACTCACTGTGGAACCTAAGGGTTAATCCTCTGCAATGTGTAAAAATGCTGTTTGATCCTGACTTCTCTGATCCTCCCCTTCTTCCAGTGTCCCCCTCTTATCTCCTGATAAGACATATTGTGTGGAGACACTAGCACTATGCACAATGTGTTTGGTGTGTATTGCTAGAGAGGTTTTTTTTTCTTGGGAGAGTGTATGAGATCAGCACAGGGCCAATCAGCACTGTCCAAACAGAGGGCAGGAGTTCTGCATCCTCCTAAAGCAGAAATAAAACTCCTCCTACAAGCTTTAACAGTGCTCTGCTGAACACTGATAGAAGTCACAAGTCTGCTCTAACTGCTGATGAGAAAAGGTATTTGGCAGTTTATATTTACTAAAATAATTGCACTTCCATGTTCTGTGTACTGTGGGAGACCAGATATAGTGATTGCAGAGTCCTGGGTTTAGTAACACTTTAAGGGTGGGACCCCCATAAATACATACCTTTCATTGTGGAATGCAGGGTAAGGCCTCATCCGATCTGTACGCCTGTGTGAAGGGCCATCTTCAGCTATCTGAAATGCTTAGGTGTAGGGGTGTGGAGGCAGCATGCTGAAATCAATGACAGGCGGATGGCTGCATGGACCTCCACATGCTTCTTGGAGTGTACATCTGTCAATCAGAGTGCAGTCTGTCTGTGTGCTGATCCATGCATTGGATCCACACAGATGTGCACTCTGGCCATTTTCTTTTATTCTGTGGCAGTCTTTTTTTCTGTTGCTGTATCTTGCACTTACTTGCTGTAGCTGGCTATGATTGGGACCATAACCTGTTAAATATTCTGTATATAGCCCTACAGAACAGACAGTGCACAGTCCACATGTATTAATCTAGGAAAAGGCACTACTCGTATCAATTATTACAATAAATACACCTCACATGAAAAAAGTCCATATGGTAATTCCACACCAGGGGCGGACTGACCATTTGGAAACTCGGGCACTGCCCCATGAGATGCCCCTGGTACCTTTTTCATAGGCTTTTTTTAATTTTGGGCAAGGACACAGGGGTCCCATGATCCCCTATTGCCCAGGGGCCCCATGAGTTGTCAGTCTGCCCCTGTTCCACACAGTGACTTTCCACACCATGTGCCCCAAAAAACTAAGACTGTGTGATCCAATAGTTCAAGTGTGTCCACCACGTGTAGTGAGAGTTATAACTCACCAGACATTTAATATCAGAAGGCAAATCATATTCCACTTTACCAGATTTACCAGTATCTTTACAGTCTTCTCCATAGCCAATTCTTGCAAGAGAATACTTTACACTTCCTTCAATAATTTTCAATGGGTGGATCTTCTTGTGCTGGTATTAATGCATCACTGAAAGAGTCCCATGTTTACTGTATGTGATTAATACAAGGGAAATGTGATTGATTTACAGTCATTACAATCAACAAAAGGATGTTGCTTGTGGCATGACAGAAGGCAGCACCTTGGGTGTTACTTCAACAATCGCTGACAGAGGTTTTCAGTTGTTAGTAGTTTGAATATGAAAAGAAGGCGAAACCAACATTGTATTCACATGTACAGTCACAAAACACACACTGTGTAGACTACAGGATCTGTATATGATACTCAGGGCTGCTTATGTTCTTCAACACATGATAAATTGCATTCACAAGTCACAATCAATTAAAAATAATATTCCAGGTTGATAAAATATTGATAGTGGGGTGGTGCTCCTTACCAACTAATAGTAAAACTCTTATTTCAACTTATACCAGCGCAAAACCCACAAAACAATAAAATACATCACCCAACTCATAAATAATAGTTACTAAATATTACAATCTTAAAATACACTGTGACACAAAAATATTAATTAAAATATTAATGAAATAAAAAATATATATAATTTTGAAAAATAATAAGTCCAGTGACAAAATCCAAAAAAACAGTCCCGTGAAAAAATTATATTTTCATTGTCACAGTGGACTTATTATTTTTCACGGGACTGTTTTTTTGGATTTTGTCACTGGACTTATTATTTAATAGTTAATTAGTAACTATTATTTATGAGTTGGGTGATGTATTTTATTGTTTTGTGGGTTTTGTGCTGGTATAAGTTGAAGTTTTTTGGTTTTGCACCTGTGTACAGCAGCATCTCACAGGGAATAGTGTGTGGAATAAGAGAATCCTGGGCGCTGAGGTTTTTTCTCTCTTTACATTAGTAGAACTCTGTTTTTTCAGGACTTGATTGGAAAGGTTTTTGTTTTTTTGTTTTTAACAAATGACAGTCTGATGTGGATTAAAGTGAGCTTGTGAGCACATCTATACTAGTTATTTCTGTACTTTACCTCTTGTAGCCTGTACATACCCTTCTACAATGCAAGCACTCCTGAACCAAGTGAAGTTGCATTCTACAAGGACATTCGCTCCAGAGCTCAGTATATAAGGTAAAGCTTTGCATTGCTAAAGATACCCAATCCTATGCAAGGAACATAAAAAACAGCTTTTTTGCTTGCACATGATTGGATGATGGAAGTCAGCAGCACATCCACTAATTTACTAAGTTCTGGAGCAAATGCCCTGGCAGAATACACAGTCTATTTGCCATTATTAGATCCACCCCAATATGTAGACCTTGACTTTCTGAGATGTGTAATCTGCCTTCTGAAGCCCACACTCATTAGCACTGATTGTAATTCTTTAGCATGTAAAGACCTTCTTTGGCAGCTCAGCAATCATTGCCTTTTTGATTATTATTATACAGGATTTATATATAGCGCCAACAGTTTGCTCAGCGCTTTACAATATAACGGGAGACAATACAGCAACAATACAGTTCAATACAAGAGGGATAGGAGAGCCCTGCTCCTTGGAGTTTACAATCTAGGAGAACAAGGGAATTGTCCTTGCATGTGTACACTCACAACCAAGACAATCTCATGCCATGCAATTCCAGATTAGATGAGATATCTCTTTATGGATAACCTTATGATGGTCATTTGTTGAAGAGCATCCCCTCAATTATATGTTCAAACCAAATACGTCCTATGCTGCACTGCAGCAGTGGCTCACTAAGTGTAGATTTAGACCTGCGTCTCCTCTGAAGCCTTATCCATGTTCAGATTGCACTTCAGAAGCTACAGAAAGGTAATGAGGAAGCGATGTGACACCCCTTCACTGCCTGTTTTAACCTCATTTATTCTGACAAACATGCCGCAACCACATGCATTGCAAGCAGTTGCCAGGCATTTGCAGAGCTTCCCCATTTGCTTGAGTATGTAGCTTTCATTGGGCTTGGTGCCTGCCAATTGCTATGTTAGGTAAACTTGCATGTAAACACCCAAATACAGTGCGTATTGCAGCTTGGGGAAGGGGGGGTGTCGGGCAGCAAAAATGCATCTCAACCTCGCATTTTTTGCTGCCCCCAACTACATGTCTAAATGAAGCCTAAGTTCTCTAAAAAAGTGCTCCTAACAACAAAGTGAAAGTGATACAATGCATTACATATAAGAAGGAAATTAGAGCACAACCCAGCGACTGGATAGAAGACTGCATACTATTAACTCACAATATTTCACACTTACCTAAAAAAAAAGAAACATTTTCCACAAACATGAGATGGCAATCTGGCAATTGTAACTGCCGAATGTTCATGCAGAATGTTAGCCTGGAGGACTTTAGATTGGGTCTATGCATTTGTCTTTTGATGCTTATGGGCACCTTTGATTACCAAATGTGGATGGTATTATAATACATGTGAGTACTCAAGTGCTGCAAAGGTAGACACCTTCAGCACCCAATTTATGTAAGAGAAAACAGGCAGGCAAACAAATTTCAAACTAGCTGATTACCAATTCCCAATTGGTCTGCTCTGTGATGGACAGTCATTGTCACCAAACCCGGCCATCCACCACAGACAATAATCATTTCTTGTTTATGTGTACCTTCGCAAGCTGAAATGGCTGGTGCTGGGTTGGAACTATAAGATCATGTGAAACTATGATCATTGTCTCAGAGATAACGTGATATCATTTGACAGTGGTTTCCTAATCAGATTACAGTGTATATTTCCAAATATTTGCTCTTTCCTATCCAGATAATATCTGGTAATGGAGACCTGAAGGATGTTTAAAAACAACAATAGCTTTGAAGTCAGGAACCTCGTCTGGAAAGAGAAGACGTGAGGCAAAACACGATTCCACTTAATCTAGACAATACATGTGGAAAAGGCTTAAAAATATTGACATACCAGAAGCAGCACAGTATAAATCAGTGCTTCTCAGTGTATATACTGTTTTACATGCAATGCTTATCATGGAACACTGGCCAGACTCCCATTTCCTTGCTCCTAAAAGCAGTACTTCTTCATGATGGAGCACACTTTTTCAGCTTCATGAATACTGACATACCTGACCCAGAAGTATGAGGGGTGTTCAAGTCAAACTGGGAATTTTGAGTTTGTATAATAAAAGAACACATTTCAAGCAGTGGAAACTGCATTTATTTTCCGACATACTCCTCTGCTACATTTATACACTTATCCCAGCACTTACCTAATGCCTGGAAAGCTTCAGCATAGAAAGATTTGTCAGCACGCTTGGATCATCCTAGGATAGCCTGCTTCACTTCATCATCAGTGCTCATATGCTGACCTCCAAGGAACTCTTGCAGGGGTCCAAACAAATGGAAATCACTCTGAGCGAGGTCTGGCTGTGAGGGAGATGTGACAATATCTCTCAGCCAAATAATGTGCAAGTAGTGAAGTGAGCAGTATGAGCTTGTGCATTGTCCTGGAGAAACAGGACGCCCATAGTGATGTGCAATTTCGCAACAGGTTATACGTTGATTATCCAGGATCAGGCATTCCATGAACTGAATGTTCACAGGAATGACTGCTGTGGGCTCAGAACCACCACAGCTGAGATCATCACTGATGGACGTATGGCCATCTTTGAAACATTTACACTGTTCAAATGTCTTACTTCGGCTGAGCGTCTCATCACTGTACTGTGCTTGAAGTCTTCTGCAGATATCCACAGGTTTTGCACCTTCATTCACAAGAAACTTTATTACCAAACGCTGTTTCATGCACGCACTAACACAGTTGTCTGCCATCTTAATCAACAGTCTTGGACTGGCCCACCACATGTGCTCCGCCTATCAGTAATAGGACACACTTGCACTTACCACTGTGTGTAGTACCGCCACGCTAAAAGTCCTGGTTTGTTGTCACCTGCCGATGTAGCGGCTCTAAACGCGGACGTCTCTACTGAAGAATTGTTGGATGTTGTCAAACATTTCCCTGCACACAAACCTCTTGGACCAGACAGTATTCCTTGCTCATATTACAAGACCTTTATTGGCATGCTGTCCCCTCACCATCTGTC